TTGAAGATTCAGTAGCTAATAATATGAATAAAAATCCCTATATTCTTGGAACTTCAGATAGGATGGGTTTTAGATAACATGACCAGGGAAGGCCCTCTAAGAACATGACTTTGGAGTAAAGACCAGAAGGAGGTAAGGGAAGGTTCCATGCAGATATCTGGGGAAGAGCAAGCCTGGCAAACTGTTTATTTGGTCTTAGCATAAATGCTTTTTTGTGGCATGAAATGTTTTTATAAAGATTCTTGTTCTTGTGGTAAAATGGAAAGCTGGGTATTTTGGGGTATGCTGTTGGAAATTGACTTACATTAGGATAAACTAGTATTTTTCACAATTTAATTTCATAGATTAAAGACAAAAATACTAAAGTTAATTTTATTTCACATTTTCTTAGAATCTAAATAGTCACATGCTTTTGTAGATGGACAATTTAGATAATGGCATCTTTATTCCATAGAGAGTTGTGGATTTTTCAAAATAAGTGGAACATTGGCTGAGGTAACATAGTACTACAGCTCTAGGAAACTCTTAACTTAGTGAGGTTCAACAGCTTTTTCAGGAGGAGGAATTTTACCATTTGTACTTACATCATCATTTCAGCAAAATGACTGATCTTTTGAGAGCAGTAAAACTATACATTCACTGTATACTATGCATTATATTAAAAACCCTAATTTATTTAAAGGAGAAAGAAGCTTTAAGAACATCTTTATGGGTTGGCTCCAATATTGGGGAAGATGCGTGTGATTCAGAAGGGGTCTTCCTAACTCGGATGGAACTCTATCTAGTTATAAATAGATTAGTATGATTTCTATAACTGGTTAGTTTTTTGAGAAACCCAGCTCAAAAATCTTCAGCAGATCATAAACTTGCTTGTAGTACACCTCCCTCTTCTTCTTTATCCCTCACAGATATTAGGGATTTTTAAAAGTACTGGAGACAAGGAATAGGCAGTGGCATAAGATTCATTGACATTTAAGAGCCCCTAAGGAATAGGCAGTGAGAAATATTTTTCTAAATTTTGTGGATTTTAAATTTCTTTCCTTGAGTATGACTATATTAATTACCATATGTGTATTGCTTATCATCTATAAGCATGAGAAGGAAACACTGTAGATCTAGAGAACATTTTATGATTTAATTTGGCAGCTCATATAGAGAATTGCAAAGGAAGAGGAATAAGCTCTTACTGGGCTTGATAAGGGCTCGATCTTTTGGAATGAGGGGGTTACATAGCAAGACTTGAGTAAGGTTTTGCCTGTATTGTCTAGACCTGAACAAATGCTAGGTCTACTGCTGAAAAGCATGTATGAGCAGTGGACAAAAAGAAGTGCCGAATTGACAGGTACCAATCTTATTCCTGAGTGTACACATCTCCCATATTGTTACCTCCCTGCTTTCATCCCCTTCCTGCTTGCTTAGGACCTAAAGGAATTTTCCTATCTCCAGTAGATAATACTTTTGGTCCATTCCAGCCAGAGTCTATGATCCTTTTTTATTGTGCTATTGATAATGTTATTGATGAAGATAGCATCCTAATTCCATGTCAGGAAAGTAAATGACAGGGTGTCATTTCCTAACCATTTACATGGGAATTTATCATGGGATTATTCAAGAAGAGAGAACCCAGATTTGAAATTTAAACAGCCATACAAAAAATAATTTGGGAGGGTTACTTTTTTAAAATGTCTTATTTCTAGCCATTCCCCCCTGACCAGTTTCAAAAATACTATGAGTTCCTGGTTGTTTAGTATTAGGAAAATCTAGCAAAGCAGAGTTCTGTAATTTTGCCATCTAGAAATAAAGAGTTACATTTTGATGACTATCCTTCCCATATGTTTACACTGCATACATATATTTAAATAGTAAGCCTCATACTGTACATACTGTTTTTCAGCCTACTTTAAAAAGCTGTATGAATAGTTTCCATGTTATTAAATATTCTTCTAAAATACTTTCAATAGCTGCATTATAATCCATTATATTAAACAATATTTATTTAACCAATCCCTATCATTAGATGTTATCTGGCTTTCAAGTTTTTGCTTTTATAAATTACACAGAAGAGAACCTGGCATAACTCTTTGAGTACTTCTCTGGCTTTTTTTTTCCTTCAGGGTAACAGTAGTTTCATGTGTATAGTATTTTTAGTTGTTTCACTGAAACATTTGCTAGAAGAAGGAGACTATTATTTATTGAATGCTCATTTACCAGATATTGTGCCAAATGCCTTGTAGTATTATATTTCATGGAATCTTTAGCTGGTTTCATCCCAGTGTTATAGGTGAAGAAATCTATATGCATATGTCTAAGATATTTTGCAGTAAGTTAAATGCACGTAGAAAATGTTGAAATGTTTTGTTTAAGCAAAAAACAGTCACAGGAAACAATAAAAACTTACATATGACGTTTTAATTTAATTTTGGCTTTGGTATATATATATTACAATAAGACAATATCTTTGTGTTTTACCTAAAAGGTTTTAGGTCTAAAAATTAATTGGCATTCTTAGTTTAGGAGAAAAAATGTGGATGAGTCCCTTGAAAATTTTGGGTTTTAGTCATATGACCACTGTTACAGATTATTTTTTTTTTCTTTTTTTTTTTTTAATTAAATCTTTATTGTTCAGGTTACATTTGTTCC